CCACAAAATGATCTGAACAAACAACTAAGTGCCTCAAGTCGCAAATAGGGTTTTGTTTAACACTTTTGTTTATCTTTTCTTCTAGGCCGTCCCTTCTGATTAAATCAAGCCATTTCTTTCTAAAACTCGCGACTTTTGGGATGGGATGAAATGATAAATGTTTAGATTTAGCCGCCCTGCTATCAGAGGAGCACCCCTCAGCTATACAATGAACTTTAGGCATGCTGCTTATTTCACCTTGGATTCGTCTCTAGTGTAAACAAATTTATGCCCCGGAAATCTCGCGAGATTAAAAACTTTCTCGACTTTCTCGCAAAAGAGTTCCAGTAAGTTAGATAACCTTGAGGTAATCGCGATACTAAGTATTGTGACCAACATGATAAATGCAAATTTCATTTAGAACTGGTCAGTCTCCTACTTGATATTACCTACATGTATATAGTACACATCAACTAAACTAAAATTAAATCATCATGAACTGATAACTTACACCTAACGTAGTTTCAAAGAACAGTAATATAAAATCAAGAGAATGTGAACGATAACAATATACTTAGTATGTAATATTACACTTACTGCTTTGAAAGCTTTGACACCTTAGGTTACATGAAGAGTCTGATATAAATCCGTATGAGCCCTGCAGATCCATTTTATCCTACAAGATCCTTACAAACCTAGGAAGCTCACTATACTATCATTGTAATGTCAAACATATGCAAAAAAAATTATTACCCAGCACGCAATAAAACAGTTCATTTTGCTGATCAGAATGTGCAGAATATAGCAAAACTTTGTCAAAATCAATGAAGAAAACCTATATAGGACAATTTTCAAATATAAAATTAATTATAATTAACAATAATTAATATATTTTGCAAACACTAACATTTTATATGCATCTTTTTTGTTTATTGTAAAATTTTCTAAAAAGGAGTATTGGCGGATGTAAAATTTGGCGTTTAGCCTGCTCAAAGGTATGCCAATAATTTTGGTGCAGTTTATTGTAGCGGTCACAGTGTTTCAGTTTTTTTCAGATGAAGACTAAGAAGAGTACTGAATATTTTAGCGATTACAATCTTAGCGGGCTAATAACAGAACGCCAACATAAGCCAAAATTAGCACCCCGCTAAAATAACTCGCTATACGGTAGCTTGGTCCCCTTTCTCGCCCTTATATCACAGAATATATTTAAGGATATAGAAATATTTTAATATCCATGATGTATAACAGTATTTCTAATTAACATGATTGGAATCATTATTAGTAACTTTGAATGTCATGAAATACAATCCATTTTCCGACACCTACCGAACATACAAATTACGGAACATTTTTTTCGAACAAAGTACGTTTTTTTTATTACAAGAAAATGGGCGGAGACATTTAAATAAGGTACTATACTAAGAAAGACATTGTGAGCTGTAGCTTGAGATACGATAAATATAATAATATTAACGCTTGTTTTTTTTTTATTTTTATTTTGCCTATTATTCGCATTCTTCTTAACTTGGAGTGGGTGCGGTTCTTCATTTCGTTCTCAAGGTAATTTTAGTCGATGTTTTGAAAAAAAAAAATAGATAAAAATAGATACGTACAAAAAAGTTTGATAAAGCGAAAGAAAAAGAGGAACCCAGTTTCCAAACTCGAAAAAAATCGATTATGTAGGAGTCAAACTTCTACTCATTTTGATTTGAAAAATAATTAACATCAATGTGCATTTTATTCATATCGTAACAGCGTAATAGGCGTTCAATTTTCTTAAAGGGTTGTGCTAAGACTTATCTCCGAAACAAGGTCTCACCCCTCCCCTGATACTACCTTCCTGACATGGATGACATGCGTATTTCCGAATTTCGCACTAAATGTTGCACATAATAAATATTCTTCTTTACTTATCGATAATTGATCATGATAAATGCATGACGTGTACAAATACATAATTATACACTTCACATACAGTTGCTGGAATAAAGAAACATTATTTATTTTATTTCACATGGATTTTTTTCTATCTTATGATAAAATTCACAAGATTGGGAGATGAAATCCAATCTTAATTATCATCTTCCTTGTTGCATTCAGTTAATACATTCGATTAATTTTTCTGAATTTATGAGCCCAAAACGTGGATAGAGTGAAAAATTTCTTTGCATATTCAAAAAGTTAGTAAAGTGTGCATATATTTGTATAGATTAAATGAAATTGTTACTTCTTTGGAATACTTTGTGTGGATTTTTTTGTTAGTATGTTAGTTTGTTCTCTCAGAAGAAATTGTTTTCATGTGTATTTATATACATATACTATTATATTGTTTCGTGAGTTTTTCGCAATGGCAAAATTGCGATTACACGCCTAAGAATTAAAACATGTCCCGGAAAATCATCAAAGCCCATGGTGTAACATAAATGACATTCATCGAAGTCTAGTGAGAACTTTGTTTTGAATCTAAAAAAAATGAAATTTGTTGAGTGTACTGTTCAAATACAAGCTCCATGTGTAGCCTCATAAAATAAACACGCTTTCCGGAGGTATACACCTGTTTCGGTATGGATTCACGTGACATATTATCTATTCGTACTAGGTCAACAAGAGGTTAATTCTATGTAAATGTACTCACCAAACAGATTCATATTCATGATACTTTTGAGTAGAAAACATAGAGCGTAAGGTTGTTCAACAAAGATATTTTCACACATACTTTATCGATATAATATACACATTTTATTTCGATCTCGACTTTGAAAAAACCTGCGCTCGATGTTTACGAAAGCTATGAAGTATGTAAGTGTCACATATTTCTTTTGATATTCATGAAAATCAAATGAACCCACCTTCAAAACACATCTTCGCGTGTCGTAGACTATTGCAATTATTTATAAAAGTATAATATAAAGTAATTTCAAAGGTTTTTAATGAAGGTTTATAAATTGACAAGTAACTAGGGACCACATATATTGTCTTATTGAGTATTGTTCATTTATAAATATACAAATATTTTTTTAAATCAAGCTTTGTTTCTTGTTTATTAAACACCAGAACCACGCTAAAACATAGTTGCTGATTTGAATAGCATCATTTTTAACTTATGCAACCAGATAATTAAAAAAGATAATAATTATTGCAATTAACGCTTTTTCAATGAAAAAAAACTCTTTTTGGAGATCCATGTTTTACAGAATGATTTTCAAATTGAAAATTAAGGAAAACTGCACTGTTTGAATTATCTAAGAACAGTATTGATCATACTTTTGAGCAGAAAACTGTATCCAAAGAATCGGTACAATCAACAAATGGACATCCATTTACGCGGCACCGTTCACAGGAGGACATCTTGCTTTTGTTGAAGTCGGTAAGCTTATTGTAAATGTTTCATACACTTTATTCATTACTATCTTAATAGAAGTGCCACACGTTATTCGAAATCAAATCAATTGGAAGGTTCTAAATTGAAATGAAAGTTTTATTTAACATAAAGAATAAAATCACTTTCATCAGAATTTGTATAATTTTGTCTTATGAAAATTATACAAGTGGACCTGTCTTCTAATGGTCCTTTCAGCAGATCCCATATTTTGCGGAACACAAATGTGAAATCATTTCCTATTGTCTCTGAATAAAAAAAAAATCGTGAAAAAAGTATAAAAAGGCAAATACGTGTGCCTATAGAGAAGTTCACAAAATCAAGGAAAATGAACATCTATCATCCCAGATATAATCTTTGTTAGACTCTACTCAGAGATATATAAAAAAAAATCATATTTTTTAAAAAGATATCATATAGTGTTTATTTATATTCTTTTCTACTAAACATAATTATAGACATGTAAAATTAGGCAAAAGTGACTTATTTCATTATTGTTACTATCTGATCTTTTTTTCATAATAAGAAAAAAAAATGGAAATTGAATTTCTCACCTAGAATTTGTCTTTCATTTTCACGATTTAAATTTATTTCACAGCAATTTTTTGTTTTGTGACAGTTTGATTCAGGAAATTTGATGTCCTCTTCAATGACTATATAAAGGAGGTAAATAGATAATATGTAAAAGGAATTCAAAGAAAAATATATGCCCAGTTTAATATATTGGATAATTGGAAGGAAAAACCAAAATGTAAAATTCTCGAACTAAACCATCGTCATTCTCATTTCTCAATTACTTTTTTTTGGAGTATTTCCTTATTAATTCTTCTTTTTCTTTTGTTATATGACTGTGCACCATTTAAAAAAAAAATATTTTTGTATGTGTCGCTAAATCTGTTTTTCTGAATCATTGATTAGCCAAGATCGTCAATTCATGATAAATATAATTATATGGATTCTAACTACAATATATGACATTGCAAAATATTATTAAACTATTATTTCTTATTAAAGAGCGTCCGTCTCGGGTATGTTTCTGCTTTGTATCGACTGTAAATTGTACACATTTATTTTTTTCTTCTCAAGAACAACTTGACGAAAGAAGTTTACTTGACAGAAACTTTAAGCTCGTGTAATATTTCAAGAAGGAAACGTAATAGCAAGTGGGAGTTAATCGAATCAATCTTCTTTTTTTTTTTTTTGGGGGGGGGGGGGGGGAGGGGGTTAGATCGCAATAGGCAATTATAATTTAACATAAGATAATATATACATTTATGCCGAAAATAATTAATTTTCTTTAAGACCAACAAAGACATGAAAAGTCATAATTAATTTGTACACATCCTAAGATAGTGTACATTCAGATTTATTTAACGATACATCATTGTCCCTGGGGTAAGGATATGAACAAAAAATATCCTCAGTTAGTATAGTTTCAATTTCATTTTAATTCCAAGGTTGAGTTTATAAGAGTTCTTTATATAGAATAATGGGCTTTAGGGTTCTTATTAACACTAAATAAAAAACAAAACAACTGTGATTTTTTATTATAAGCTTCTAGAATTAAACATGTTTCAAAACAGCATGGGTGGTTACGTTTTTGTTATTGAAGCATCTGTAATAGGGTTCTTGGAAGGATACAATGTAACATCATTTCTGGTTTAGATGATTTTATTAATAGTACAAGTATAAGTAGACCCTGTAATAACAATAACAATTATTAGACAAGATAAAAAAAATATACATTAAACTGCAATACAGTATTTGTTATCATTATAATAAATTCATACTTTATAGTTCATATTCTCTTTATATTAAATTTAAATAATTTCCACTTCTTTATCACAGATAAATTCATTATAAAAATAATTCCTTTAACAATTTAGTAATTTAAAATAAAAGAAAATCATAATAATTTATCATAATCATTATCTGATTTCAAATAGTTCAGAATCAAATAATATTACTGAACATTTACACAAATACAATTTCATGCATTGGACTGAATACACATGAAATTCAATTCAACACAAGATATAAACATGCAAGACAAATACTCAAAATAAAGTTCTGTCAACACATACATATAATATAACAACACAAACATAAAACATATAGATTACCTTCAATATGGTCAAAAGGTCTGGATATTACCAAAGGTACATATTTGTATTTATACTAGCTATTGCATGTAGCTGTCTCAGTCCTATATAAAGAATGCATAAAAATGAGTAATCTCCCTTAGCTGATATAAAAATCTTTAATAATGATAACTGATTAATTTAATGAAAATACCTATACTTTTAATTGGAAAGGATTATTTAAATCATATGAAATAAAAGATAAAATTCCTAATTTTACGATAAATGATATTACAGTTATACAAGTTATTTATAAAACTAGTTTAACAACTTTATACCTATTTATTCATTTCACTCAGTCCTACATATATACAATTTCATGACTGATTTAGAGTGAAATGTCAGATAAAATATTTATGTTTCTCATTTACACAAGTACACAATCTCTCAAACTTTCACTCACCATTCTAACACCTTTTTCACTCACTTTCATACAAAATCAAAATCACAATCATACAAAATAATATAACAACAGACCTGAGATCCTTGAAATTTCACCCTCAATAAAGATGTAGTAAACACCCAAGAATAGCAAACTCAGGAGTCACCGAAGTATACACACTGTCCTCTTGGACACAAAGACTGGTATGACCAGTTCTACCCAAAAATAACTCACTGACCACAAAGAGATTTCCCTCCAAAATCTTGACCAATGGAATCTATTGCCAGGTCACTTCATAGGTCACTGACCTCTCAAAGTTCAAAGCTAAAGTAAGTATAAGGGAAACTTATATCTAATAATTCTTAATTAATTTCTAAATAATTCTAAAGCTTCTAAAGTATAATATACCTTAAATAAATAATAAACTGCTGAAATATAAATAAGTTAAATTAAATAAATTCCTGGAAATAATATCAAAATTATTTAATAGACAAAAATACTAATATGCATATCAAATAAACTCAAAATACTAAAACTATATACTCTTTTTAAATATTTACACTTTATCACACATCCAAATTTTATGTTGATTCAAATTTGATTCAATGATAGTTTCCTTAAACACAAGATTTAAGTCCACATTATGAAGTAAACATTTTCAAGTATCTTAAAAGTGAAATAAAAAAGATAATGAACAGAAGAACAAAATTGACATTAATAAAGTGAACATTATGACCCTTTGGTCCTGTTAAAAAAATAGGCATCTTGTAGATAAAATGATAAATTGGACTTCTTGAAAAAAATATTGTTACTGAGTATTTGACTGTTTCACATAACGTATCTTGATTATTCAATGCAGAAATGTTTGAAAGTGTTAAACAAGCATTCGAAAAAGTTGTTAAGTCATGCACTGTGATAGAAAAAAAAAATAAAAATGTAACTTTTTATGCTACAGATTCAGCGTCGCTGTTTAAGGTTAAGATCTAGATAATGAAAGGTGCCTACGGACATATCAAATTTATGAAATGAATTCCTTTAATTATGCTTTATAACTTTACTGTGCCAAAAAGGGTGTTTCGGGGCATAACATTTAGGTAAAGAAGATTGAAAATCAAATCTTAAACTGTCTTTTCGAATAAAAATTTGAAATTTAAGTTATGAGTATGGGTTTTTCCAAGTCAGACAAAGAAAATGTATCCAGTTTGCCTACAGTTTTAAGTTTTCCGAAAACGGTAATTTGTATGGCATAGGCCTCATCTTTAAATTAATGTCAAATCTAATATAGGTATCGGAATTAGTATTCATTTGATTTCAAATTGTATTCAATGTTATTTTCTACACAACTTAACGAGAGCAGTAAAGTACGTAAAAAGAAAATATAAAGTTATTATGACATCATAATGGATCTAGCACCGAAAAGTTAGTCTAAAGACATTTACTAGATCTTGACCTTAAACAAAGTTTCCGACCATGAACTCTGCGATTTTGGTCGTTTGTAGAATGTACCAAATGAGTAGTCAATTATTCCTACTTTGGCTTATCGATTAATTAAGATTTTATAATATAAGCACATAGTGTAAATGGATGAACTACATAGCTCTTTATGTAGAAATAAGGACAAGTACATTTAAAACACAGAATAATTAAGAATTAAACATAAAAAAAATGTCTTCTTTTCAAGTTTGATTGGCATTTACTCACTGGACAAGAATATTCTGTAAGGCACTTTATCATCACAGTCTGGTTCCGTTGAGAATGTACTGTTTCCCATGCAGAATTTACAGTTGTTATGTTGACTTAATGGTTTCCTTGGAGGTTCTTTCAGACAGATGCATGAACTTTTCCAACGATATATATAATATTTAAATAACGTTATTGGAAAATACATGGACATGAGATTTTTACCCCTTAAAATAAATACTAAATACATTTCACCATTTTGATTGTTTTAATCAATTATTCAGATAGTTACTGTACAGTTCCAAATTTTAAGATAAAGAAATATTTTGGCTTCATCTATCGTTGCAAAACAACAGCGATGTTAAAATATATTCGACATCTGAATATTTTCAGCTTATTCTCTGCAACTGCTTAAGCAATTTCAATCAATTTTGGCATGAAGCATATATGGGTGAAGGGAAACAAAAACTGTGAACTTCATGGTCCCTGGGACCAAAACCATGAAAATCAATGCAATCTTTAAAAGTCTTTTTTTTCTAGACATGAAGCAGTCAAACTGATGGCATAAATGCAATTAGCAAAAATATTACAATTCGTAAACCTCGAAACAGAAAATTAAACCCCCACGAAAATTAGTGATTACACTGATTTTATAGTGAAAATACAGGAATTGTTTGAAAATCTTCTCTGCTCCTGGGTTTTAAACAAACAAACATCATACATAGTTATGAAGAGGAAGAGTGCCTCTTCTTAATTTGTGAATTTCATGGCCCGAAGGTCTTGTTGGGTGGGTTTATATAGATTATATAGTGAAAATGCAAGAAATATTTAAAAATCTTCTTCTCTGCTCCTGTGCATCAAACAATATAACCTCATACATAGTTATTATGAGGATGGGTACCTCTTTTACATTTGTGAATTTCATGGCTCCAGGTAGAAGTTCTGATGCTAGGGCAGGGCTATACAGATATTGTGAAAGTGCAGGAATTCTTTGAAATCTTCTTTTCTACTCCTGGGTATCAAACAAACTTACTTCATAAATAGTTATGATAAGGAAGAGTGCCTCTTCTTAATATGTGAATTTCAATGCCCCAGGTTCAGGCGTTCCGGTGTTACCGCAGGGCTCTATTGATTATATAGTGAAAATGTACTAAATCGATGAAAATCCTTCTCTCTGTATCTGAGCATTTTATTAACTACGCATATAATCATGATGAGCAATGGCCATTCACCCAGAATTGTGAATTTCAACACCCCTGTATTAAGGGTACCATACTGATAGATTGCAAATGGGAGGGAGAGGGGTCTAATTATATACTGAAAACGAATTAAAATAAATACTTTGAAATCTGCTACTTGATATTATTCAATCACTGATGCAGAAGAAAGATGCCTTGCCTAAATTGTGAAAGGTGTGGACCTAGGGTCAAGAGTTCCTGTAGGGTAGTGCACTGCTGATTATTGCTGAATATTACTAATTAGTCCTAGTTGAAATGCTTTTATTTGTTCCCCTTCTCTGCCTACGGGTATTCAGTGAAAATTTAACAAAAGTTAACATGTCAAGTGTATAGTTATGATGAGCACTAGCGAACCTTTCAAAATTTTAAATTTCATTGCCTCTGATTTTAAACATGAACCAAAATCAATCGTTGGAAAGTTGTTGCACGAAGCCCAGCTGACCTATAAGGCCCATGGGCCTCTTGTTCATTAAAAAAAATGAATTTTATGAGCAGCAGCCATAATCGATAGTATAATTAGTGTTCAAAGATTTGTTTATGATATCCTATATTTCAAACTTTAATGGATTGTGTGAACTGATTTTGGTCGATCTCGCCGACATCTTTCAATTTTAAATACATCATAAAATTACAAGAACCTGGATTGCAAACAAAAATGTGCGCTGCGTTCCTTTAGAACATCTTTCTTGACATAATCCAGCTGATGGAACACTCATGGAAATACTCTTTATTTTTTTGAAGGAAAGATCTTGTTCTGAATTATCATCCTGCAAAAAATTGGATTCGCATACATGTTCAACAGTAGCTTATGTTAATTTAATTTATTCTGACATAAAAAGTAATTGTTTTTTTAATTTAAAAGGAGATTGTTTTGAGTTAGATAATTTAACTTTTTATTTTTACGATTACATTTTTTATAAATAAATTAGGCCAAAGAATTATACATATTTGCACTCCACAGTTATACATTAAAATGTTTACATTTATTTTAAATTGATGAAAATTCATTGTAAAAGTGGTATATGAACTCAATTTATTAGTTCATATTATATATTATTTATATACACGTATACAGAAATGAAGGGGTTGTAGTAAAGTCTCCTTAGGTAAATAAAAGAAATCATTGTGTATCTTGTCGATCACATTACAAAAAAATATTTTAAAATAAATGCACTATTAAAACAAAAGTACATGCCTATAGGAGGAAGGGCATCCATGATCATTTACATCTCTTATGTTATATTTTAGCAATTTTGAAAAAGTTCACGTTCTCATGAACTACCGTTGGATGAGTAAGAATATTTCGGCTTTGCCGAGATAAGGTGCCCATTCAAATGAATATTATTTCAGGTATGTTCTATGTAACACTACATCCCTTTGGCACATTGTCTGAAACACATGTGTTTAAAAGATCCTATCAGTTGGATATTAAATATTAATTTATACAAAATTCCTGTGAAATTAAACAAAATAAACTACAGTAAAACTTAATAAAAGTTCCAATACGAGTAAACTATGAATAGTGAGAACAAAATAATATATGTCAGAAAAACGTGTAATTGGTGTTTCGATATCAAAATATTGTCTAAAACCAGCTAGAGACAAAGAATGAACTTCATTTAGCATCTTAGATGGATGAATTTCATAAGAGCACTGGGTCTATGGACTACACTATTAAACAGCTCTGGCATTGAGGACAATCATCTAAAAGAAAATATAATAATATAAATAATTCTTTGGCAATTGTTAATTATTATTTTGGTTTTCTACAACAGTTCACAGCATTTTGATTATTTGTAATTTCATGTTTAAAGATAAATAATTGTCAAATGTGCTATTTACTTCAATGATCAATGCCAAATGAAATTCCAGTTTAACTGATAATTAAAGCATTATTGGAGTTCAATCTATAATGAAAGCAAGGAACATGAGAAGTAATTAAATCAAGGCTTGATGTTTTTTAGAGGGAGGGAGTTGCGGACTATATTGCTTCATACTATTTTTCGATTTGATTTTAATGTTATACATATAGCTCAAAATGGTCATTCAAAAGGTGTATCAGTATAGAATTCATGATCATGATCATAGGGTCTATTTCATAGAAAAATTTCAAAACAAGATTGACCATTTGAAGTAAAGAACCATAATATTACAATATTTATCTATAGATATAAAGAGTCAAGGATTTTTTATATTAAATTAACAATTCCGTGACAAGTAAATTGGGTGGTGCAGTTGCTCAGAGCTAAGGTCTTACTTTGTTCTAAATCGCAAAATAAGGAGTTGATTGTTGAGTCAAGTTTTGTCCGCCGTCACGTTATGTCCGCCGTCACAAAATGTCCGCCTCTTTTTCGGAAAAATCGTCACACAATGTCCGCCCCCACGAAATGTCCGCATTTCTCCCCAAAAAATAGTAATATTAGGCCGGCCGCCAAGAAATGTCCGCCTTTTCTCCCCAAAAATCGTCAAACTATTTCTGCCGTCACGAGGTGTCCGCCGATCATCCAAAATTGTCACGTTATGTCCGCCCCTACAAAATGTCCGTCCAAGATTGAAAATAGTGTTTTATTTTTTCTTTTCGGTGTTTAATATATGTATCTTTAACCAAACGTCTAATAATGTATGCCATCAGAAATATCCACCAAGAAAAATTAATAATAATGGTCTGTTTTATCTAATTTGCTACAAATGATTTCATTGAACTACATTGTTTCGATCAATTAATGGAGATTTGTTTCATTTCTCTTGATCCTTTACGGTTTTGAGAATTTAATGGCATGGTGTCAGAAAAATTTATGGCTTACCCTTGTTTTGTTGCCAGTTTGTAATTGTAATAACAAAGAAAACATATTGTGAACAACAGGAGGCGGTGGGTTATTTGATATTGAACTTTAAAGTAGCCTTGGTGCTCTGCGGAGTTTGAAATATAAATTTAAAGTATTTTACATTGATAGGGAATATATATATATATTTAGTGTTCAAAAGCTTGATAAAATTGGGGGGGGGGGGGGGGGTTAAACACCCCCTTTAAGATATCCTAGATAGAGAAAGAGATTCCAAATATTTGTTGTGTTTTAACCTAAGCACCGGTAATTGTTTCGTGAAAGGCTACCTATAAAATTTATGTATAAAAAATCGGTTCTTCAAATAAAATACGCGCCTGCAATATTGCATGCATTGTTTTAATGTGTAAATTTTTATGATATATTTTTTATGAATAACAAATCAAGTAATTTCAGTTTGTTACCTCATAACATGAACATTGTGGTTTTCCGCTTGAGTCTAACTAAAAGGTTTTGTGTAGATATAACAAATATGACGAGTTTAAACAGAAGTAGAGCAACTAACACTTGAGTCGAAATGTCCGGAAATTATTAAGAAAATAAGTTATGCTTGTGTATTATATACTTTATGTGTATTTTTATATAAGTTTACGTATTTCTTTTCATTTACCGAGAAGTTTGGTAAAATAAATGGGTATATACGTCAAGTGCGATGTTTCTACGTCTGTATTCATTGGTATCTTTTTGAATAATTTAATGGCCCTTAAAAGGGCCGTTTATTGTCAACTCCTAGGAGCGACTCTTGATGGTCTTGCTTATTGAAAGCAAGAAAAGGACTGTTCCCGCCTCGTTGAAGCAGGTCTCATCGGGAAGGTAATGTCTGGGAAATTTGACATCTATTCTGATGTAGGTTTGGCCAAGGATTTTCTTCATTTTATTGTTAACAGTTCTACGCCTTGCATCAAACTCCTCATGCTGCAGAGGGAATCGAAATTTTCCTCTAGAAACAATCTCTGTGAAGAAAATCTCGGGTTGTCTGCTGCTGGGACTCAAGACTTAAATTTGGTGGAAAAGGCTCGTCAGAGAGTCAATGACTGTAGACGCTTCGGCTCCATTCGAAATGTCGTTTCCCCCTAAGCAAACTACAACGATGTCCGGGTTGTACCTCAACAACTTGGAGATGGTATTTGGACAAGGTTGAGA